CAGGTACTAAGCAACAAACAGCATTCACAGCAGCAGCAAGTCAGGCTTCAGATGCCTCAGGAGTCAGGCTTCACAATGGGACTTAGGTGACTTGAGTTTCCACTAAGGCTTCTGCTCCAATCTCTCAAGCAATCTTAATCTCAAGCAAAACACTCTGTGTCTCCACTCAGACAGTAAAAGGGGGAGCAGCAATTTTTCACAAGATCACTCTCCCACATGACAGTACTTAAGCAAACCAAAATGTCCAAGAGAAAAATACATAAACAGTTCTCCTTATGTCCCAGTGCAAGTTTATGCATCACTCTGGGCAAGATGTTAAAAATGTGCTACTGGATGACAGCATTAAACACAGAAAGGCCATTTTGTAATGGAGTTTCATGAGCTCACACTGGTCAGACATAAAAATAGAACAGTTTCTGCTAGTACTGTACCCCTTGTCAGCCTTCACAAAAATAAAACTGTAATAATGCACTTACCTGATCCTGCAGAAAAAGGATTTCACCTGGGCATATTCATATGGAGAAGCTAATAACATGAACACATGGAAAGTATCAGTTAATATCCTTAAAAAGGTCACACCTATCAGAACCATGGTAAACTGTGCATTCTCCAGGCTTTCTGAGCAAAACTGAAGTTTCACAACCTGCTCTTTGTTAGCTACTGAATTGTCTGTTCAAAAGTCTGCTCCCACCTCAAATGTTATCTCTCCCTTCTCTCAAAGTGAGCGTCCACTCATTCTTAGAGAAATTGATGACCTGGAACTAAATTCAGAGGAAATGCATATTTAAAAAAAAAAAGGAAACAAACAAATCAGCCAACCAATCAATGCACCAAGAAAACTTCCTCCAGTGCATCACTGTGAAAAGGAAAGGTAATATTTCCTGGCTTTATGAGCCAAGTACCAAAAACTATATACAGCCAAGAAAACCACAACTCCACTGAGGTGCCACTGCTCTGCTGGGTAGGCACATCACTGGCATCCAAGTTGTGGAATCCCTGGCATTCAAAACCTCCAGATGTCTCATATCCTTTGATACCAAGGACTTTGGACTTCTCAGAACTGATGCCAGAACAGCCCCACGTCAAGGTGGGCAAAAGACACAGCCTTGGCCTGCAAGCTACGTGTGAGCTGCTCACAAATAACACAGAACTCAAAAGGCTCAGCTCAGACACATCCAGCACTAAGTAGCAAATCAGCTTAAAACTTGGGTTTCATGAGCTGTGTTCACAGCAGGCAGTGAGTGGGCCATAGACAAAGCACCTAAGCAACCATAAGGTGTAGATTAAACAACTTTAAGCTCACAAGCAGACCTTCTTTTCAAAAATCAGCAGTATTTGGAATGAGTAAGACGATACATGAAACAATGAAGTATGTGCCTTTCATTTACCCCAAGTAAGAGTTAAGCCTTTAGGAGATTAGCTAGGACTGGTCCCACAGCCACTCCAGTTTTCAAAGTGGAAAGGAACAAATGAGGCTGATGCACATTGCATCTAAAATGAACTACTAACTCTGTCCTCATTCTGCAAGGGAAGACACACAGAGCGTTTACAAGCATTGCCATGTCCCACCTGTCTGACTTTCCATGTTCCAAAGGGGCAGGTGAGACTGATCAGTGTGTGTGTAGAACACACTCACATCCTGAGGGACCAGCAGCTCCACAAACCGGGAGGAGTCCAGCACTTTCTTCTTACAGTTCAGAATAGATGCTGCCTGCTCAGAAATATGCACTATGCGTCCAGACAGCAAAGAAAATACAGCCACAAACGTGTCCTGGAAAACAAACATTAAAGGCCATCATTGCCTGAAACAAGGCAGTGATAACGTAAAGATAACAAGGAAAACAATGCCAAAACAAACCTACCAACCCCAAACCACCACAACCTCAGGCTGAGGCTCAAAAATGTCTTGGGTAGTGTGTGATCTACTACACTCTCCAGTGCTGCAGCAGTGTACTCAAGATTTACAAATGCTACTAAGACTGCATTAACATCAAAACAGATTAATGCTTGTCTTTGCTCTGAATGACTGGTTATCACTCCACACACTCCTCCGCAAATTTCAGAGGATTCATCACAATTCCACACACAGAAATGTTCTGAGAGCTTTCCAGTATTTTTTTGTACTTTTTCAACATTAGCAATATTTTTGACACAGCTCCCAACAGTACTGAATTTCAAGAAACACTTCTTTAAAGCAGAGTCAGAAAGCATAACATCTATTGCAAAACATGAAAAAAAAATAAATGCAGAGTACAAACAGAAACCAAAAGTCCCTCACAACTATGAATCTGATTGGTTTTAAAAAATTTCTACTATCTCAAGAGATTACTCTGCTGTAAATGAATTCTCAACGAGGTATTTGTTGCTTGTGGCCAAAAAACCAAAAAAAACCCGAATTTGTATTTCTTCACTCACTGTCATTGGGTACTGACACAGCACAGATAAGATGTAATCTTGATTTATCTTTAAAAACCTGAAGGTCTGTCTGGCTAAAATTTAAAGGCCTTTTAACTTTACACATTTTATTTCCACAAAACAATGGTAAGTGACTAAATTTAGTGAAACTGAATGAAGTCCTTGAGTGTGCCTGAATTCTTACAGTGTTTTTTGGAGTGTGTTCAGATGCAACTGCCACCAACTCTTCTATGCTGTATGTCACCACATCTGCCTGAAACACTCTTCGGTCATTCAGAGCCTGGAAAAAGTCATTGTTTGCTAATTGCAAAAAAAAAAAAAACAAAACAGAAAAAGCAAAACAAACACAAGGAAGTCAGTAAGGAGACTACTTTGAAAATATTTCTTACAGCCCTTGTACTTTTGTCATCTTTTTGGTGAAGTCCAAGGTGAGATGAGAAGGTCTGTGTAGTGACAAAGGGAAAAGGAATACTGATTATACTACTGGAGTAATCTCATTTTGTTACAGAATACAAGCATGAAGAAGTAGTACAATTTTAGCTACTTAGTTCTGTGGGAAAACACAAACTAACCAGTAATTTTTCAAAGTGGGATGGGAATACCATTTTTTTAATATACATAGAAAGTTACTATTAGGCACCTCTTAGCTATGGGACTGATGAAAAGAAAAGCACTAGGGGGTATCTCAACGGAAGAGATAACACTGTTGTTTAACAACAAAACTGGCAACAAAACCACAGTGCTTCAGAAAGTCAACTCTGCAGGGTAACTGGAATGCATTCTTTTAATTCTACTTGCTGCCAGACACATCTGTGCACACCATGCTGCTCTGCCAGGTTTTCTCCACACGTACCTTGGACCTGCTGGACACACTGCAAGGCATAGTTGAGAGCACTGATGGTACTGGGCTTGTTAGAAATCCTTTTCTCTTCAGGCAAACACCTTTTCATTTCTTGGATCATCATCATCATATCTCTGTGTGACTGGCTCCAGTTCAGCTGCTCACTGTAAAACAGTGTTAGACTTCACCAGAGAATTCTGGTGTAGATTTTTTTATTATTACCCAATTAAAATTACTCTCTAAATTAACATTTTATGGGAATGGCTACACAGACATGTAATATCCAGGTATGTCCTAATTCTCATTCACTGAATTTCCTGCTGTATCTTTCTCACTTCTTTGGAATTGAAGTTTTTCTCCTCTACCTTCCCCCTTCCCAACTCCATGTCATGGATGGCAAAGTCACTTTGAAACCACTCAGCTTGCTAAGATGCCTAGCAACCAAAAATAAGATGATGTTTACTCTAGATTTTCTAAATAACACAGGTATTAAAATAATTAACAAATGCTGATTCTGGATCTCTCTAAGGCTTTCTAGCCTTGAAGGCTGTACCTGTTATAAGCATCTCAGGGAACCATGAGGTCCTCAAAATACACCTGATGCAAAGATCTCATGCCTCGTGACTTCAGAGTCCCCGTCACACTTTCAACAGCTACAGAACGGTTAACAGATAAAATCTCCCTCTCCTTACGTTTGCTTATTCCACTGACTAAAAAATAAGCAGTCAATATCCTCAAATCACGGATTCTAATCTTACAGATAAGATATGAACTCCATTTTTTAGTAACTCTTTTCCAGTCGACAGTGCCACTAGTACCGTACTCTCACTACATAAAACATTACATAAGTGTAAGTATTGCGTGGTAACTTCACAAGCCCGTCCAACGCTGCATACATTAGAGCCCTTTAACTCTTTATTCGATTAAAAAAACAAATCACTGAATTTCCGAATCCCACGAAAAACGTTATTTCGGCAATTTCTGTGTCGGTACTGCTAAACAGTGTTTAGCTGAAGCCCGAGGGCGGCTCAGCCGCTCTCAGGAGGCGGCACGGCTCACCGGAGGCGCGGGCAGCCCCGCGCCCAGCGCACCTGCACACGCCGCGGCCCGTGACCGCGGAGCCCGCGGAGCCCGCGGAGCCCGCGGAGCCCGCGGAGCCCGGCCCGAGCGGCGCCACACTCCCCGCTCCCCGCCGAGCGCTCCCTGCTCCCCGGCCCGGTACCTGTTGGCTTTTTCGGCGGACTCGGCGCCGTGCAGCTCGGTGCCGCTTCCCGCGCACGCCGCGCACCGAGCGCCCGCAGCCCCCCGGCGAGGCCGCGCCTCTCCCGCCGAGCCCGGGCTGTCCCCGCTCGGCGCCGGGAGCGCCCTGAGGGGCCGCGCCCCCGCCCCGCGCCGTTACGTAACGCGGCGCACGCGGCGGCCCCGCTCCCACACACCCGCGCCACGTGCGCCGCGCCCCGCGGACACAGCAGGAGGCGGAGGCGGGGTCGGAGCCGCTTTTTATTGGAGGAGACCGCGCGCGGGGGGGCGGGGCCCGCGCGGA